TTTTTAAAGTAATATAGCGATTTATGTTCAATGAAAATCTCCACAGAACAGAGCCAATTATCTACTAAATCGCATAGCGAAGTAAAGTTACAATTATAAAGTCTCAGCAAAAACAACCAAAAGTATTTAATTACAAAAGAATATTGATCGCAAGTGATTGCGCGTAATTTTTTCATTCATAGTCATAAAATGTTATTATGTGCCGCAATTTCCAATCAAAATCGTTACTTCCATATCTATCAGCAAAACAATTCTCCAGAAAACAGATGTCTGTTTATTACTGCTAGAAACCATTGTAAAATGGTTTCTAGCATTAATAAACAAACAAAACAGACAAAACCATTGGTTTTGTCAAATGTTAAAGCCTGCTATTCTCAGGTCGTGAAATCTCGTATTTCATCGCATAAATTAGGCTCTTGTGACTTCTGGAAAAGTATTTAATAGTATCAATAATAAGGGCATCAATAATAAGGGCATATCTTTAATAGTATCAATAATAAGGGCAAATCTGTTATTCCACCTCTCTTATATGGTTCAGACTTTGTCACCTCACCTAAAGACAAAGCTGAACTGTTTGCTAATAACATTTCATCAATATCATCTCTTGATTTTACTAGTTGGGTTCTACCTGATATAGCCAGCAAACTGGTTGATCCATTGCTTGACATTTGTATCACTCCAGCTTCTGTATCTAAATTGATTTCCTGCTTTGAATCTTCTGCAGCTTGTGGTCTGGACAACATACCCGTTATAGTCTTGCAGAAATGTTCTCTAGAGCTGTTGTCTATACTTTCAAAACTATTTAACAAGTGCTTATCAGAATCTTGTTTTCCAGCCTGCTGTTATCCCTATTTTTAAAAATTCTGGAGAGCGATCTGATTCCTTTAACTACCCTCCCATTAGTCTTCTTTCTATCATAAGCAAGGTTTTCGAATCTTTAATTAACTAACACTTAATCTCTTATCTTGAACCTAATAACTTACTTTCTGGTCATCCATATGGATTTTGATCTTCTTTTTCGACAGCCTATTTGCTAACAGTTATAACTGTAATAACAGTAATAATTTTATCATGCATTAGATAGATATGGAGGGGTTAAGGCCATTGCTCTTGATATTACTAAAGCTTTTGATAAAGATTGGCATGCTGGTCTTCTCCATAAGTTTTCTGTTTTTGGTGTATCAGTTAACATCTTTAAGATTATTAAATCCTTCCTTTCCAATTGTAGTATAAAAATTGTCCTTGATGGACAGCACTCTTCTTCATATCCTGTAACTTCAGGGCTCCTCAAAGTCCAATCCTTGTCCCTATACACTTTTTAATTTACATTAACAATCTTCCAGATATTCTCACATCCAAGGTGGCATTGCTTGCTGATGATGTAATCATTTATTCTTGTCATGATAAGAAGCCAACACTTTGTGATTGTTTGAGGGCGCATTTGAGTTTGAAAAGGATCTCACTTCTGTACAGCATAGGGTTTTCAGTGACTGGTAAACTTTTCAGATAAAACTCAATTTTTTTCAGACAATTGTTATCGCAATAATTTAGATCTTCCCATATTTATGAACGGTAATCTACTTGATGAGTCATCTACCCTTAATCTTTTAGGATTAACTCTTACTTTCAATCTTTCTTGGAAACATATATCAAATCCATTGCAAAATTAGCATCCGCTAAGATTGCATCTCTTTATCGAGCTTGACACTATCTTACTCTGGATTTTATTCTTTATCTCTATAAATCTCAAATCTGTTTTTGTATGGAATACTGTTGCTATATCTGGGGCGGGTTTTCTAATAATGCCCTTTTTCTTTTAGACTAGGTGCAAAAATGTATTGTAAACATATTTAGACCTGCTTTTGAAGCCAACCTCTAACCATTATCTTATCTATGTAATGTTGCTTCTCATTCTCTTTTCTAACAATACTATAATGGGTACTGCTTTAAAGAGCTAGCATATCTTGTGCCATCCACTAAAATTTATTCTCATGTTACTCGTCATTCTATCAAAGTCTTATTGTTTTTCTGTGACTGTTCCTAAATGCAGGCCTTGTTAAGAAGCGTTTCTCTATTTGAGTTTTACATACCTATTCACGATTTCACGTTCTTGTTTTGCAATTTACGTTACCAAAAAACTTTTTTCAATAAGTTTATTTTTAATAGTCTTTTACAACAGATTAAGCGGAAAACATTAAACTGTAATTAATTGTTGTAAAAAATGTTTGTGGAATTTTTTTTTTTATTAGATAAAAAACCAGATAGATACCCTTTTTTCTATTTTCCATTTTTTTGAAAAAAATATTTATAATTTATTTTATTAAATTTGAATTAATTTTATTATTATTCATAGTTTTAGTAATTTATTTGATGAAATTTAATTAAAATTCTTTTAAAAATTTAAAAATGCTCCGTCTTTTACTGATAAAGACGATACTGAATTTTTTTACTGATAAAATTTCCAAAATTCATGTTAAAGTAAAAAAAAAATTAATAAATTTAATTTAAGTAACTTTAAAATATTCGCATTACATATAACTTCATTTTAATTTCAGTTAAGTTTCAGGTAAGTTCCAGTTCCAAATACTGGTCTAAATAATTCGCTTTTGTAGTTAATAAATGATGTCATACAAAATAGTTCTTTCAAACTCGAGTTTAAATGTTGTTTGGGTTCTCCCTTTGCCACTTTATGCCGTAGAATTTTTTTTAAAAAACGAACCAAACTTTAAACCAATTGAAAATAACGCAATCAATAAATAAACTCTTCAAAAGCCTAACTCATTTTTATTTTGTTTTAAAAACAAAACTAATACTTGTGCTATAGATATAAGATACCTAAATTTTAAAATTATATTGATAGTTGTTAAAAACAAGTTCTGCTAATAACATCTTATAACCGAAAATATTATTTTTCTCTTTGGATTTAGTAAGAAATAGTAAAAATACTTTAGGTTTCACGGTACATAAAAATAAAATATTTTAATGGAAATAAAAAAAAAAAAAAGCCGAAAAGCGGAAATCTTCGTTTATTTACCATTTTTAATTTAATCAAAAGCCAGTAAATGCTTGGTTTTTTAAAAAGAGGAAAACCCAATCTAAGTGTGTAGAAGTACACTTTAATTCCTTTAAGAAAATCAACCATAAACAAATGTCCACTCATTTAAAAAAAATAACCGTAAAAAGAATGTTTTGAAGAAAAAAAATTAAGTTTAAAATTTAAACTGTAAATAAGTATAAGATTTTAAAACAAGGAAATTATTTTTTAATCAACATTTAAATTTAATTTATAACTTTTTTTTATAATAATATTGTTTAATTTAAAGATATTTTTTTTTAAAGACTTCTGTCGTCTGTCAATCTTACTCTACAATCTTCATCTTTTCTTTTGGGTAACTTCTAACTCTAATAGTGGCTGTTTGCAGCCTAAGATAGACTACTTTGATAGACTATCAAATTATAACTCAGGATGACAGATCACAAGTTTTCACTGAAAAAAAGATATTGGACACTAAAAAGTGTGTTTCAACCATGATTAGTGAAAAACACAGCTCAGAAGTTTTTCATTTGAGAGTCATTGGAGTAGGTAATAAAAAGACAAAAATAAATTTGCAGATATATTAGGATTTGATCATAATGCTGAACCTATTTTTAATAGAACAGTAAACGATGACATCATTTTACCTCTATTGCAAAAAGTGGACCTTTTTCTAAGAAATGTTTAACTCATATTGAAATAAAAAATGGAAAAGGAAATACAATGGCAACCGAGACATAAAAAACCTTTTTTTTTTTTTTTTTTTTTTTGTAACATCGCTTCCAACGATGTTACAAAAGAAAAATTCCTTGAACATGTTTTGTACACATTTATTTATGCATGTCTTGCAATACTGAGAAGTTTGGAGTCAGAGTTGCGACATTGTTTAGCGACTCGGACTCCACTAAAAATGTTGCGATTCTGACTTTTTCAGTTGTGATCATTTATTTTTTGACATTATAGGCATATTGAATAATCTGTTTATATGTTAAAAGGTCACTAACAGGTAGTTCATTTGGTTGCCCATTATATCTTTCACTTTGATGTCTAGTTGTTATACTTATTCTACAAGATAATATCATGTGAAAATACCATGAAAGACAGAAGCTATATATATGTCTAATAAAATATACTTTATCCGTATTAGATTTCATGTAATATTTTATATCATAAAACATTGCAAAAAGTAACTCTTTCCCAATAGAAAAATGTTAACACATTTAAAAATGGCAAACTTGTTAATATACTAATTTATGATGCAAAAACAACATTTTAAGTAATGTTCTGTTCTATTTTGCAATACTTAAATGAAACCATCAAAATGTAATTTGTTTTGTTTTTCCCAAAAAAATGACAAGGTTTTGAAATTTTTTGAATTAAAAAGAATTTTATTAAATATAGAGCATTTCCCAAAGTGAGCTGAATGTTGATTTTAACTTGGTAGTAGCTTAATGTGCACTGCTAAATTCCATTAGACTGTTGTGATTTGCTGTTGTTTCCTTTTTAATAATAAATTGTACTTTATGCTTAATTTTTCTAGTTTTATATGATGATTTGCCAAAACAGTTTAAGATACAGAAGTTTAAGTCATAAATGTTTATAATAATAATAACAACAATAATAATATGGCTTTGTGACGTGATTATTTATCATAATTTCAAGATCAAATATTTTTTATTTAGTAACTATTGAGTTATGTGATAAAAACAGTGTTTACAATTTAAAATAAAATGAAATTGTGAATAGTGTTCACTTAATTCGCCCTCTTGAGTTTAAATTATAGAGTTTAAATATAAATTATAGCAAAGTTTTTGATAAAGTTGTTGTGAGTATATAATAAAAAAATATTTTATATAAAATTTTTATTAATTAACAACAATAATTTGTAGACAAATTCATATTTAAATTTGAATATTTCTTACAACTGATTTTAATTTTTTAATTTTTTTTGACTTGGTTATCCAAGCTCCAGTGATTGTACCTTCAGAACCTGGACCTCCAGTTTATGTACCTCCTCAAAGGCAACTAGATGTAACAATTAAGGGAAAAGAGTTTCTATTTAAGTACTGCTTCATTTGTAAAATATTTCGTCCGCCAAGAACAACACATTGTAGCATTTGTGATAATTGTGTTGGTGAGTTATAAATACTAATTTTTAATTTTATTTTTAAATTATTTTCTTTTATTTAAATTTTTTTTAATCTCTTTTAAATTATGTCACAGACTAATTTTTTTCACTTAGAAATTTTAACTAAAACTTTTTTTAATGTCACTATTATGTTTCATGTTTCACATTTCAGTGTCAACCAGTTCTAACAAATCTTTTTTTGGTTGAAGATTTTCATCAAGCTGTAGTTTGCAACATTTTTTTTTTAACTCATTGCTTGAAAATAATCCTGCTTACATAGGGAAAAGACTTGTTTAAAGATAAAGAGA